CGTAATGCCTAATCTGCAAGTTGAGACATAAAGTGGGAGGGAACGACACACACACACACACACACACACACACACACACACACACACACACACACATGCACTCACGCACACACACACACACACACACACACACACACACACACACGCGCACACACACACGCACACGCACACGCACACACACACACACACACACACACACACACACAAGGTTTCCCACCTGAAACTGATTAGCAGGACATTTACAAACAGAGCTAATGAGCAAAATTCCTTTTCCAACCCTGTGAGATCCTTCAGAGGTGACTTTGAGATCTGTGCCTCATCAAACCTGTTGTTCTGCTTTCTAGATTCTGATTAAAACAAAAAGAGTAGAAATGCCTTTTCTGCTCTTTTCTATCTTTTGCTACAGATAACAGTATCTCAGTTTTACCTTTGGACCACACAATGTGTAACAACTTTGATAGGCCTCTCTAGTTAAAACGTTAGGTGTGTTTTTGCTTATGCTTCAAAAATTTTAACTAATGAAGTGAGGTCCTACTTGGAATGTGAACGTCTTCCAGGTTGTTTTATTTATTTTTTTCCAATTGGAATGAGCTCTACTATTTATCCTACGTGTGTGTGTGTGTGTGTGTGTGTGTGTGTGTGTGTGTGTGTGTGTGTGTGTGTGTGTGTGTGTGTGTGTGTGTGTGTGTGTGTGTGAGAGAGAGAGAGAGAGGGGGGAGGAGAGAGAGAGAGAGAGAGAGAGAGAGAGAGAGAGAGAGAGAGAGAGAGAGAGAGAGAGAGAGAGAGAGAGAGAGAGAGAGAGAGAGAGAGAGAGAGAGAGAGAGAGAGAGAGAGAGAGAGAGAGAGAGAGAGAGAGCATACAGTGCTCAGGATCAGGTGACTTGGGTAAAGGCCATTTGAACAGAAGCAGCCTTGTGGTTGATCATTAACAGCTCCTAAGAGGGTGGTGGTAGCAGTTACGTGTTCAAAGCAATGACTGTGTAGTGTGGTGTGGAAAAAACCTGAACTACTTTAGTCTATAGTTGAAACTGAAACAATCTTTATCATTGTAAAGAATTAAAAACGTTGCAAACCACAGAAAATGATTATTTTGACCCGGCTTGCTGTAGAATATTCAGGGTCTTTAATTCCAACATGATTTCTGCAGATCAGTGATCAGTCCGTTTTCGCGAACAGGTTGGGTATTTAGCGTTTGTGAACAAACATGCTAATTTCTTCCTCCCGGCTTTGCTGTTTACTCTGTGTGGTCACTGTTGATCACCATGGTGACACATCCTGCTTCTGCTCGAAAGAGGAACAAGGTCTAGAGACACAATGTACAGTGATGTCAAGAAATGGAAGCTGTTTAGAGTCTAGTTTCAATCTAGTGAAAATCTTTAAAAGATTATTACTTGTGAGCTCACAACACTTAGATGGACTTCAGCATAGTTTGGATTCAGGAATAGCTTTAGCAGCAAAGTATAATAAATATCACCTCCAGCAGTTACAAAAGGCAGCACTCCTGCATCCAGAGATCAAGTCTAGCATTTGTTTTATACTAATTGTGGAAAAAAGAAGCATGCAGTAAGGTGTGGAAGATTTTACAAATCAGAGGCAGGGTTACTGAGACATCTACAGCATGGCTAAAATGAGTGAGTTCAGACTGTCCAACTCCAAAGTGGAATCCACTCATCTAAAAAGGCTCGAGTTTCCCAACTTACATAAACATACGTATCTGATTTTATAAACCTCCATCAATGAGACTGGAGCTGTTTTGGATAGCAGCAACATGCTCTGGTCTGGGCCGTCCTTGGACTACCCTTTAGCTTAGCAGTTTTGTAAACTACTTCTTAGAACAGAGGGTGTTCAAGAAGCTATGCAAATATACTTTTTGACATAAAAATAGATCAGAATAAGCTGCAAGGCTTTAGGATAATACACCATCTTAACTTTTCACACTGAAATCTTCAACACCTCCATGTTATCATGCTGGAGAGAGCAGCTGGATAAACCTACATCATTTTCGGTTGTATTCTCACTACGGCAATCTCCACCAGAACTTGGATTGGACCAAAACCAGCCTAAAGAAAGCCACAAGAATTTCCTTTAAATTGGACCAAATCTTTGTGAATGCTTTTACTCTTTAGAAAAATAGGAGTGAAGAATACATCAACAGTTTGTTAGAAAAAAACATTTTCTAATCTTTGAGTTATTGAGGTTTTCCAACAATCCATCCATTTTCAGCCGCTTATCCGAAGTTGGGTTGCAGCAGCCTATGTTGGGAGGCCCAGACTTCTCTCCCCCCAGCTTCGTGTGCCTTGCCTGACCAGCCAGCCCCATGCTTCCTAATGGGAAGCAATGGGTCTGGGAAATCTCCTATTCAAATAACCCCACCCCCTGAGAATTCTAGCCGAGCCAATCAGAGCTGGGCAGCATACGTCCCACACCACAATGCTGAGTTTGTCATAAACATGGCATCTGAAGCTGGCATTTGAGCTGGCTTGTCCCGCCCCTCATGTGCCTCTCTGTCTGTGAGTGACCAGTGCCTCCGGGGGAATCCCAAGGCATTCCCTGGGCAGCCGAGAGACGTAGTCCCTCCAGCGTGTCCTCGATCTTCCCTTGGGTGTCCTCCCAGTTGGACGTGCCTGGAAAACTTCAACAGGGAGGCATCTTGACCAGATTCCTTAGCCACCTCAACTGGCTCCTCTTGATGTAGAGGAGCAGCAGGTCTACTCCGAGCCCCTCCCGAAAGACTGAGCTTCTCACCTTATCTCTAAGGCAGATCCCAGCCACCCTGTGGAGAAAACTAATTTTGACCGCTTGTATCCATGATCTCGTTCTTTCGGTCACTACCCAAAGCTTGTGACCATATGAGAGGGTTGGAACATAGATCGACCAATAAATCGAGAGCTTTGCCTTCCAGCTCTGCTATATCTTCACCACAACAGACCGGTACAATGCCCGCACCACTGCAGACTCCACTTTTTAAATAGGGGGACCACCACCCCAGTCCGCCAATCCAGTGGAACTGCCCCCGATGTCCACACGATACTGCAGAGCTGCGTCATCCAACACAGCCTTACAACATCCAGAGCCTTAAGGAGCTCCAGACAGATCTCATCCACCCCTGGAGCCTTGCCACCGAGGAGCTTTTGGACAACCTCAGTCACCTCAGTCCCAGAGATTGGAGAGTCCAACCCAAAGTCCCCGGACTCTGTTTCCTCACTGGATATCTGCCAATGGGATTGAGCAGGTCTTTGAAGTACTTAGTTCTTGAGGTTCTTTTCTTTAAAAACCTCATTTAGAGGATCATTCACTGACACAGACATGCATATTCAGGTAACAGTGGTCTATTCATCTGCTTTCTTCTCCTTATCCAGGTTGTAAAGTTATCAGCCCTAGCATAGAGGCCCAACTCATTCTCTCCTTAGCAACCTCCACCAGCTTCACCAGCTGGACCACAAGGTGTTACCTGGCCAGCTTGGAGGTACTTTCCTTCTAGTGTGTTCTGGGTCAAGCCGAGGACCTCCTGCTTGCAAGACATGCTGACAAAAACCTTCATTGAAAAGGCATGCAGAAGACCTTCTGAACAAATGCTGGAACCACCTTTACTCCCAGATGCTCCTCACCCTATCTCAACTGGTAAATTGTATATTTCCAAACTGCACAGAGCAGAAGTTATCTTGAAGTATCAGCCAAGCTAGCGTGTAAACAACAGAGCGCATACACTGCAACTCAGAGTTGTGCCTTCCAGGATACAGCTCATAAAACACCTCAGACTTCTTCAGACTGATGAAACGACATCTTGTCAAAATCGATGCCTGTCTCTTCCAGTTTACAGCCATGTTTTACGGTATTCATCTCTCAGGCGTTGCAGCGGTTGCGGCATTGTGTGGGTTGCACAACATTCTCATTGGGAATAAAAACTGGAAATTGCAACAGGGAGTTTTTCTGAGCTTCTGCTTTACATCTAAATGGGTCTTGCACAACCCAGAGAACATTCAGCTCACAAAGCAGAAGAGATCAGTCCAACTGTCTGAAAGCTGGAAATGACAGCAGCAGTGGAGGATTTCTTCACAAAACCTGCACGTTGTGAAATTCAGTTACTTTCCATAAATGTGGAAGGATATTGCAAAAACATATTTTGGGTATTTTTGAAGGTGGATGCAGTTTTGGTCTCTGAGCATTTGAGCCAGAAGAGTACTTCATGATTATAACCTTAGTCTTTTCCAGATTTTTACTTAAATCACAACAACTTTGCCAAAATGCACAAACATTCCCTAATGGCCAGATTTACTGGTGTTGAATTAGCTTTTTTCTGCCCAGTTTGCAGGATTCACAGAAAATCTGTTGATTTCTCATTAACAACGTTTCCAAAAAGCTGTGAGAACTGATCTGTGGGAACAAACCAGAGACGTGTGGATAAAGAACCAAACTTCTAAATGCAATTATTTCTTGGCAGATTTAAGAACATATTGGTGTAGATTTGTTAATATTTTCATGTAGAGAGAAGAAAGGGGCATTCAAACTTCTAAAATTGAACAAATAAGTTGATTTTCTGCTTTTTGGCAAATAAAAATAAATCATGATGGATAAATGTGAGAGCTGTTCTCCTCAGTGGGACATTTGGCTCCAACTCTAATTACACTTGACTCCTAAATGAACCTACATATGGAAAAATAAAATATTTCCTGCTTTCAACCTCGAACGCTGGTAGATTTAGTCTCAGATGGACTCATTTCCTTCCTTTTCACTGTCAACAACCCACGTTATCTTATCTTCCCCCTCAACAATGAACCCTTTCTACTCCACACATTTTGACCTGTCACTGAAGCACACAATGGCCACATTCCTCCAGAGGGAGGTCCTGCTGTTCTTCATGGATGACTGGAACTCAGCCAATGTAAATACACCTGTTCCCCTGGTCTGTGTCTATATTTTTATTTTAATGCTTGTGGACATTTATATTCAAAACAAAGCAAGCACCTAACATTGAATCAAAAAGAAAATCAGCAAAAGGGTAGATTTATTTTTTTATTTAGTATTTTATTTAATCTGTTTCAAGCAATTAAAAATATAATAATCTCTTTTTTATTGCTTTTCTTTTCTCACATTGTTTTTTTTTCACAGAGCTTGAAATAATTTTTTTCTCATAAATAAAAGTACAAAATACAAGTTTTTTCTTCTTTAAACACAAATAAATATCATAATAAATATATTAGTTTAAGTTAAACAACACAAGGCAACCAATAACCAAATGGAATACTGCGGTGTTCCCTGAACCAGGCGGTCAAAACAAATGGGGTGCATTTTTCAAACTGGCAAACTGAACAGAAGAATTTACCAAATCAAAAACATAGAACGTTTGGATCTTATTGTGATCCTTCAGGACTTGCAAGATTTGCTTGCACCCCAGGTCTAAAAATAGAAGAAAATCACAAACACTCTCACAAGCATACTTACAGGCACACACACTCTTTACACACACATCCATAACGCAGAATGAAGAATTAAGCTTTGGTTGAATGCTACTGGGACGTGTTTTCCCCTATTCGAATTAGCTGTAAAGTGCATATCATAGACACATGTCAGGTCTGGCTGATTAAGGCTACTGAATCGAACATACTGAAAATGGCAGAGAGGTGAGATAGCCTATGAGGCGGGAAAAGAACAAATCTTTAAGGCATTACTGATTATCACAAAAGGTTTTGATCACTACCGATCGGTGGTAACTGTGAGTCAGAACATGTGCTGGTTAAGTCGAGACCTGTAGAAGAGGTAATTCTTTTGGAAGACCACATATAAAGGTCTAAAAGGCTACTCCGTATTTCTGAGTATAAAAATAGAGTCTGATAACAAACGAGTACTAAAATCATCTTAGTATGTGTAGTTTGTAAAAGATTAATTAGATTTTTACAAGTGTTATCTTGTCAACTTGTTCTAGACAGTTCTGGTTTTTCAAGGAAGTCAACAAGCACAGCAAGTCGACTTCCGTCTTCTTTGGATTCGTTTAGTCTGATAGGGACAAACGTTCAAAGACGGTGAGCCTCTTGGTGGTGGAGCCGTCAAACGTTGGTGACTCGGTCCCACTGGAGCAGCTGCTGCTGCTGCTGCCGTCCTCCAGGGAGTCCTCAGAGGAGAAACGGTGCAGTCCAGCGGACTTCCTAAATGCCCCGTGGCTGCCAATTACAGGAAGCGGGTGCTGCTCATCCACCATGCTGGTGAAGACGCTGCTTTTGTTAAAGTTATTTCCGTGGCCGCACACGCAGCGTGAAGGCTTTGGCTCCAAGATGAGAGGAATGTCCCCGCTGTTGGCGTGGTTCTGAAGGGTTTCAAACAGGAACGCGGAGTCGCTAAACACCGGGGGGAGGAGTTCAGTAGGAGGTGGGGAAACAGAAGGAGCACGGCTGAATCCCAGGTTTGGATCGTTGAAGACTGCGGAGAATGAGGGTGGAGAGGAGCTGCGGGATGGGGCCACAAACCCAGCAAAGCTGAGACTCTGGCGGAGCTGGTGGCGTGGGTTGTGGTTACTGGTTGATGTGGAAAGTGGCTGTCTCTGGAATTTTATAGACCCCAGGGGACCATCACTGTTTTTCTCCCCATGGATGAAGTGGCACCGTGAGCCATAGGGACAGTAACCAAAATTGTAGAAGGTTCTGCAGGGCTCGGTCTTGTACTTTGGGTGACGGTACAGTCCACGCAGTTCTGCCTCACCGTGGGCAAACTGACACTTGTTGCCATACTTGCAGTTGCCAGTCTCTTGGAAGCCTCGACACAGCTCGGTCTTGTAACGGTTTGAGGAGAGCATTGGTGGGACTTGAGCTGGGAGGTTAGATGAGGGCGGGAACCCTGGTGGGGGAGCAACGGTAGAGGCAGGGCTCTGGGTAAATGGGTCCAGACTCTTCAGCTGTCCAAACGGAGGGAGCAGGCTGCTGCTGGGCTCAGTCATGCTCATAGAGCGGTCAGACCGGAAAGGGGCTGGTTTTTGGTTGGAACCCGGAGCCTGGCTCCAGATGTTGGACGACCAGATAGAGCTGCCGTTGTCATCACTGTTAAGATGCTCAGAGCTCAAGCTGAGGCTTGACAAGGCAGAATGGGAGGGAGGGGTGAAGAAAGATGCAGATCGGTTCAGCCGACTCTGCCCTGGAGCTTTGAGCGGGGATGGGATTGGGAGAAGATCGTCGCTCAGGGTCAGGTCAATAAAGTTCTGCAAGAGACACAGGAAACAGTTACAACACAACATCCACATTTTTGAAAATCAAACCTACTAATGTGAGATTGGATTCAAAGAGACAGCATTACTGTGTCTCAGGATAACTTAGAGGAAGAAAAAGAGCAAAAACAAATTAAACAAACTCTGGAAACCAAGTTGCAGAGCTTCCACTCACCGTTGGGATGATGCTGTCAAGCATTTCGGACATGCTGTATCCCTCTGGCAACATAAAGAAGACAGATCCACGGTTCAGAGCTAGACTTAGTTTCAGCTCTTTTTGCTGGTTCAGTATTTATGTTGTTGGTAGGAGGGCTCCTCCCATGAGCTGGGAGGGGTTTCCACTTATCATGTTCCCGGATAATCCTCCTTCTGACAAACCCTCGTCTCCGCCCCCTGAAAAAAAAAGACACACAGAGAAGAAAGAAAACAGAGTATTTTTAGCCAGCTGTGTGAAACATTTCAGTTTCGTAGGCATGTGAATGCAAAGTTACTTATTTACATAACGCTCATTTAGGCTCCAAATTATGCCATTCTTTGCATGTATAATTACAGACCTTCAGAGAATTGAATACAAAATACAAAAAAGGATCATCTGAAGTTTGTGAAAAACAAAAAGTTTAAAGCATCCAACAGAAAAAGTGTCAAATGTTCCTCCTTTTATTCTGAAATTTACCTGTGCAATGAAGTTTTTTATTTCTAATTATCTGACCCCAATCAGGTGTGTACAAAACATGGCCGTGTATATTCCAGTGACTAATGCTGCTTTTTCAGAAAGCGCCATAAATCATCAAGTAACAGATCACACAGTATAGTTTCTGACTGTCGTTACTCATCGTGAGTACACTTGTGCTTACCAGAATACATACACTTCCCTTTATATCCTCTGGTTTCGCAAATGATTTCATCAAAACAGAAAATCAAGGTATTGATTAGAAAAGAGGAGAAACCTTTGGGCTGCAAACAAGATACAGATGGACAGCGATTAGGAAGCAGCTGATCAGAATTGTTTTTACATTTCATTCTCACAGGATGAATGTGTCTTTTCAACCCTTTTTTATAAATAAACCAATTGAAACCTGCTTCCTTTCATGTAAAGTCACTAAAGTTCTTGAGATGTTTTTGTGGAACATGTCTTACTTTGAACGTCACATCCCACAGCGGAAAGACAGCTGTCAACCCCCTCTGCAAATGTCAAATAAAACTAACAATGTGTTTTTATCAGAAGCAAAATCTTTGCAGATGATGTTTCGACTCAAAATGTGACCAAAAAATGCTCAAATACTCACAGTGATTTAAATGTGAACAATTTCATTTTAAGATGTTTTAAGCATTTTTTAAATTGAATGCATTGATTACATCACATTTTCTGGTGCATTCAAAAGTTTTGTATCTAAGTTTTCTCTGTTTTCTGTTTTGCTTCTCAGCTAATCAATCCATAATTGTATGTGCTGCTGCTGCGTCAATGTGTGCATGCGTACGTGCATGTGGTGTGTGTGTGTGTTTGTGTGTGTGTGTCACCCACACACATGAGTCATTCAGTCCTGGCAGTGGCACCACATATTCTAATAAAAGTTGTGTAAGAGTAGAACCTGTAATATTAGCAGCGAGAAACGGGAAACTAGTCAAAAGGATGTTTTTTTTTAAATTGCCTGATTCAACTCAGCAAAAAAATAAATAAACAAATAAACATTTGCACACGTGACGGTGTTGCTGAATTACCTGGAATTTTTGTAAGGTAGTACCGAACTGCAAGAGGGTGTCATCAGTTTGGGAATAAATTTTGCTGACTTTTATACAATCAAAAATAATTCCAATCGGGATTCAAATAAAAAAAAAAAACATTGAAAGGAAAGTCCCAGCTGCAAAAATTCTTGTTGCCTTTTGTGACTGTATGAACAAAGACTCCACATTTGCATTTGAATCAGGCGGGATGTGGTTTCACTTGCATACAGGGGTTTTAAATCCTTTCAGCAATTGTGTCTGGGAGTAACTGAACAAACTCTGAGTCAGCTTCTGATGGACTCACTTGACCTGCAGGTGAGACATTTACTACTCATGTTTTTTTTCTTTCCACCAAGGAGTTTGAGCTTTTAAAAATCTAGGTAGAAGTAGTAAAAATAACATATATGTCTCTACTTCTGCTTCTAAAAACACAGATTATGTAAAAAAATATATATATATATTTACTGTTTTTTCATTTGCTTGGGATGAATTTTAGATATTAACAGATGTTTAAAGACGACTTATTTGACTTGTTTCTGTAAAAGAGTTTTGTAAAAGAATAACCTCCTTCGGCTCCTTACTCTGATATTTTGCCGGACTGACATCACGGCCGAGTCCAAACACCCCTCTCGTGTTCGGCTATTAATATCTGCAGCCAGATATAAATAACGTCCTTTAATATAAACCTGACAGAATATAAGAGCCTGTCAGAAGAGTGTGGAAAATACTGTCCTCATCTTTAGAGACCTAACCTTCTCAGCAGGCCAGGAAACTGGCACAGACACATGGGAAGCATTTATCCGTGTGTGTGTTTGTGTGTGTGTGTGTGTGTGTGTGTGTGTGTGGTTACTTTGAGCTGCTGGTTTTTTGCTCTGCTTCTCGCCACAGTCGCAGGGAGTATCTCTCAAACAGGGAGTGGTACACACACAAAAACACAAGCTTAGAGGGAGCATTCTTGCTGACGTTGACTTCCAGGTTACTGCGTGTTTGTGTGTGTGCGTGCACGTGCATGTGTGTTTTCTTTCCTTGGTGACTGATGAGTGCTCAGTTCCACGTTTTCCATTGGGACTTTTCTTAGTTTGACATCTTCTACACTGTAAGGTCTTGTCACATGTTGAGGCGTGATCCTACAAGTTTTTGTCATTGTGTGAGGGGAAAATCAGCAATTTGAACAATGATGGGTCGGCGTCACATGACTGTTGCTACCCCCCCCCCCCCCCCCCCCCCCGAACACACACACACACATACACACACACTGAAATAAAACAATGAATTGTAATTTGTCAGGGCTTTCTATTAAATATATTATAATAAAAAACCTCTCATCTTTATACAGATTGACAAATAAATGCAGGGTTACATTAAGTGTACCAACAGCAAGCCCCTGCTGAGCTGACTTGAACCACTCTTTCCGAATATCGCGGTTATTTCCTCCAACTCTATCAGTGTACTCTGACTGTGTACTCTGACTAAACTATAAAGTTAGATCATTAACTAAAAGGCCTGTGTTCTCTCTTATCAAGCACGTAGCATCTGCCTCTGCTCTGAATTGCTTCACGCGATCAAATTAGCGGTTAAAAATATACTGAGCCTTCTGTACAGTTTCAGCTCATCCCTTTATAGACGGGTGAGTTTCACTTTGGTCAAATTTGCATCACTAGTGGACTCAGTTTCATCTGATGCAGAGTCATGGCTGGTTCTGGTGGGTGAAGTCCTAAAATCTTGTACTCATTTAGCTCCAAGTGTCATCATTTACAGGAAGTTCATGGCCGTCTTGACCACAAACATTTCAGCTGTTTGTGCCAAGAGCCTGTACTGGAAACCAGGAAAATTATTCTCAGAGGATGCTCCTCTTGGTAGCCCACTTATGGTGACTTTACATGGTGTCTTCCACACACTTGCTCCTCCAAAGTCACGCCTTAAAAACCAGAGTTGAGTGTGCCTTCTCGGTTTACGGCCCTAAGCTTTGGAATGATTGCTCACTCAGTCTGTATGGTTTTGGGTTTTCTTATATTGTTTCTCTATTGAGCTCTTTGTATGTCGTTGTTTTGTCTCTTTATAATGTTGTTTTAAGCAGCCCCATTTAGTGTTTGATGGCATTTTTATCTCTGTACAACATTTTGGTGGGCTCTTTTGCCCTGTGGAAACTGCTTTATAAAGAAACGACTGAACCCGTCTAACCCGTCCTTGACCATTCAATAGAACCAAAGCATTTGTTTCCTTTTCTGTTTCAGCCCTTTGGACAAGTGACCTGCGGTGCATTTCACCTTTCATCCAGTTAGAGCAGGTTCTGCATGCCAGAAGTGATAAAACTGGTAAATGCAATTTACTGTAATTATTATAATTACTACTTATTATCAAATGATGATAATGGGGTACTCCTGGTAATAGTTATTTAGGCATAATTGTTTGGAAAAGGACATAAAACTACAGAAAATGCATTGAACGTTAAAATTCAGTTATGATACTGTGACCTGACGGTGTAAATAGACAGCAGTCTACCAAAAATTGTACCTACAGTGGGGCAAAAAAGTATTTAGTCAGCCACCGATTGTGCACGTTCTCCCACTTAAAATGATGACAGAGGTCAGTAATTTTCATCATAGGTACACTTCAACTGTGAGAGACAGAATGTGAAAAAAAATCCATGAATTCACTTGGCAGGATTTTTAAAGAATTTATTTGTAAATCAGGGTGGAAAATAAGTATTTGGTCACTTCAAACAGGGAAAATCTCTGGCTCTCACAGACCTGTAACGTCTTCTTTAAGAAGCTTTTCTGTCCTCCACTCGTTACCTGTATTAATGGCACCTGTTTGAACTCATTATCGGTATAAAAGACACCTGTCCACAGCCTCAAACAGTCAGACTCCAAACTCCACTATGGCCAAGACCAAAGAGCTTTCGAAGGACACCAGGAAAAGAATTGTAGACCTGCACCAGACTGGGAAGAGTGAATCTACAATAGGTAAGCAGTTTGGTGTGAAAAAAATCAACTGTGGGAGCAATTATCAGAAAATGGAAGACATACAAGACCACTGATAATCTCCCTTGATCTGGGGCTCCACACAAGATCTCATCCCGTGGGTTCAAAATGATCATGAGAACGGTGAGCAAGAATCCCAGAACCACACGGGGGGACCTGGTGAATGAACTGCAGAGAGTTGGGACCACAGTAACAAAGGTCACTATCAGTAACACACTACAACGGCAGGGAATCAAATCCTGCAGTGCCAGACGTGTTCCGCTGCTGAAGCCAGTGCATGCCCAAGCCTGTCTGAAGTTTGCCAGAGAGCACATGGATGATACAGCAGAGGATTGGGAGAATGTCATGTGGTCAGATGAAACCAAAGTGGAACTTTCTGGTATAAACTCAACTCGTGTTTGGAGGAAGAAGAATACTGAGTTGCATCCCAAGAACACCATACCTACTGTGAAGCTTGGGGTGAGAACATCATGCTTTGGGGCTGTTTTTCTGCTAAGGGGACAGGACGACTGATCCGTGTTAAGGACAGAATGAATGGGGCCATGCATCGTGAGATTCTGAGCCAAAACCTCCTTCCATCAGTGTGAGCTTTGAAGATGA